TGCCCCAGACGCCCAGTAACAGACACCACTGTAAGTTCTTACCCTGTTGGCTCACCCAACAGTGAAATGCCTTGTTTCTTCTTCTCATTAAATTCAATGTCTTTTTGTAGTTCATGTTTAGATCATAATGTGTTTTCATGTGTTCTTACAAGAGAGGAAAAGTGCTTTATCATTGAAAAGGTTAAAGGTGATGCTAGGCACACACAGTGTCCTTTATAACCACTGCTAGAGGATAAAAAAGGATGTAAAACTCATCCCTACTTCAAAAGGAAATCTGAAATGGATTACCAAGGAAATTAGTCACTGATGTTTAGAAGATGAAACTAGATGCCACATAGACAGGTTCCAATGATTTCTATATGGGGTCAACAGCTGTCACTCCCTACTGAGATTCAAATACATGGTCACAACTAAAAACAAACATGTCTGCTATAATACATAGTTCTATGTATATATTAAATGTTATGAAATTATACATCAATTGTGTATATATACATACATTCATAAATTGTTTCATATAGATTATTTTATAATATATAATTTCTCAAGACCCATGCCCAGAGCATGCTGCTTCTCAATACACCCACCTAAAGGTTTTACTCTGCCATAACTCAGATAAGCTGTCTGGAGATTGCTCCACCCAACCTAAGACGAATTAAGTTTCCTTCTTTGAAGAGATCTATTTAGTTACTGAATTTCACCTCAATCACAGCTTCTTTTAGAAGGTTCTGTGGGAATTTTGCTGCTTACTGACTTTGGAGTTCCTGTAAGGTTCCTGCAATTAGGTTCTGTTATGTTTTCCCCTTATCGTAACTATGAATTGACACTGGATACCTTGTGTGCATTTCTCAAGCACCTAATGTACTATGTGAAAGAATACAATGCAAGCTTTGTTGTTTTACAGTCTGATGTTTAGTTTATAAGATCACTTTGAGGGAGAAAATTCAGATGATGTATAAAAGATGGGATAGGTTAAATTTTAAAAATTCAGAAAAATACTTCATAAAAGTTGAAAATCTCGGGGCTGGGAAGGTGGCTCAGTGGTAGAGTGCTTGCCTTGAATGCCTGAGGCCCTGGGTTCGATTCCTCAGCACCACATAAAAAAAAAAAAAAAGCCAGAAGTGGCGCTGTGGCTCAAGTGGTAGAGCGCTAGCCTTGAGCTGAAGAGCTCAGGGACAGCGCCCAGGCCCAGAGTTCAGGCCCCACGACTGGACCCAAAAAAAAAAAAAAAAAAAAAGTTGAAAATCTCTAATAAAAGATCAACCTGAAATTTTACAGCATGCTCATAAAAGTATTTTCAAATAAATTGATTTTCAAATAAACTGACTTGTGAAAAAATCTCTTCCACTCTCATGAATGTATTTAGCAATTAAAAAATATGTTAGAAAGAATGTTACAATAAAATTGAAAAGCTAAGCGTGGGCTACCATTAGACATCTCAAATATGAAGCAATAATGATTAAGGAAATGGTTGAGCACATGAGTGTACTCTTAAAAAAAAATCAAACTGTTCATCTCAAAAAAACAAACTCAAAACACAGTTAAAAGGTTATTTCACTGAAGAAAAGCCATTTTTTCTTTATCCATCCTCAAATCATGAAAGTAAATCTTAAATAGAAAATATGACTTTGCCGGGTGCCGGTGGCCGTAGCTACTTAGGAGGCTGAGATCTGAGGATCGTGGTTCAAAGCCAGCCTGGGCAAGAAAGTCCATGAGACTCTTATCTCAAATAAACCACTCAGAAAACTGGAAGTGGCACTGTGGCTCAAGTGGTAGAGCACTAGCCTTGAGCTGAAGAGCTTGGGACAGCGTTCAGGCCCAGAGTTCAAGCTCCATGACTGACATTAAAAAAAAGAAAGAAAGAAAGAAAATATGACATGTAGAAAAAATGGACCTATGAAAGCTGTGGGCAGGGATGGGAGGGACAAACTGGGGGAAAGGAAAAGAAAGGGTGACACTGTCCACAGAAAGAAATGTACTACCACCAGACTTAGAAAATGATGGCTCCTCAGTCAAACACCTTAGTAGTAACAATAAAATTACTTAAAAAAAGAAAATAATTTGACAATGCTCATTTATAAATACTCATCACAGCTGTTTTATAGAATATTGGTGTTAGTGATGAGCTCTTCTATGTTATTATATGCTATAATTGTTATTAAGAACTATTTCTTGTAAGCTCAGAGACTACATTAGTTTATGTTCCATTGCTGTAAAATACTCGAGGCTGGGAATTGGTAAACAAAAAGGGTTTGTTTGGCTGACAGTTTTGAACAGAAAGTCCAAGCTTAGATAGCTGTGGTGGGGCTTTTTTTTTTTCGTTTGCTTTGCAACATGGTGGAGTGGGAAAAGAAGCTGCTGCATACAAACACTTCTGCATCAGCAAGTGATGTGGCCTCAATTTATTATGACCTCTCCTATCCTTTAAAAGCAGGGTTTGAACACAGGGCCTCATGCATGCATGCTTGCAGGTTCTCCACCACTTGGTGATGGAGTTTGGATAAATGGATTCTAACTGCTCTTGCTAGTGCTATATTTCAATTAAAAAAATAAACAGTATTTACATGAAGTACCACACAGAGTAACAGATCTTCTCCCTTCATTACTTCTGGAGGGAAATACAAGAAGGAAGCAATGTCAGCACAGCCACAGTGTAGTTCTACCTGTCTTTCATCTCCAGCTCCACTTTCATGAAAAGTACAAGTAGTGAATAACCTGTTTTAACCATGGGTGAGAAGATTTAACAATGGCAAAACTCCTAAGTACACAACTTTCTATGGCACTGTGGTAACCATTAGCAGCAAGTACTACATTAGATATTTCTACACCTCAGCTAACAAGTTCAACACTTCACCAAGTTCTGACATTTTACCTCAGGAATCAGCCTCTCAAATTCATGTACTTTGCTGGACCAAGTTAAACTTCCTGCTTACCTGACATATGACAAAAGTCTTACTTGGATGTATTTCATAGATTATCCTGCATATCTGCTGTTGATTTTCACCAGGCTGGTCTCACTCTTCTCAGGATAAAGAGCAATGTAGAGGGCCTACTTTCATAGCCTCACTTCATACCTCACTCCCTAATTCTAGGGCCTCCCACTCTTCTTTCAGTTTCTTCTTACCATATTCCTTACCTGGCCATTTGTTTCTTCCACTTGCCATGGAGCAAATGCTCTCCCCGCACCCTTGCACCAGTTTTATCCTACGGATGCCTCTTCAGTGCTCATTTTAGATACTGACTGTTCAAGGAAACATTCCAAATTTACAAATCTAAGATAAATTAAAGTTTTTCTGGTATCCATCACACTTGTAATTTTGTCTGGTAGCCTCCCTCCAAATTGAATGTCTCATCTACCTTTGCTCACCATTGCATTCTCAACATGTGACATAGGCTACTCACAAACTATGTCTTGTCAACATTTCATAAGTGGCTATGAATAAATGAAGTCTTTGGCAACACTTTATCAATACAGTGCATGATTCCATTGCTTTTCACAGGCATTTCACAACACTAAATTATAGGTTGTCTAGAAAAATCTAAACATTGCTTTTTAACTTAACTGTAACCAAAGAAGTCAGCACATGATACACATATCAAGTTTTATGGAATAGTCTTATATTTTTATAGAAACTATAAAAATAGTTTATAGTTTATTTATAAAAAGCTGTCTGTTTCAGTCTATGGAACACATAACCAAGTAAAAACACTCACCAAAACCAACAAAACTCAAAACAGCAACAAAAAAACCCATGGACAAAAGTGTTGTTTAAGTGTAGAAATATTAAAGAATAACCAGAGAATGAGTGGATCTTGTCACAATTCCAAGAACAGCAAAATATCCAGTAGTTTCTACATGGCAAAATACAGCCATACTACTTTATATTTACAAGCATGTAAAGTTAGACCTAATAAATGTTACTATCACTCTAATTTACTATGTACATAATCTTCCAGTTTTGTTTTTATTTTAAAAAGAAAATCTACCTGATCTCAAAGAAAAAACTGATCTGCAAACGAGTTTACTAGTACCATGTTTAAACAATCCAAATCTAGTGTCTGAAAAAGAAATCAACTACGCACTTAAAAGTTTCAGAAAGAGTCATGAGATGTGTTTGAAGAGGCTTTCAATATCACTGGAACTCAAATGTGGAAAATTCATGCATAAACTTTATTCATTCAACCAATGAATCCTCTACCCACGGGGCTAGACTATATAGCAAATCCTGAGAACGCAAGGTCTGTATCAACAGAATTGTTAGTAGTATCAAATTAAACCTGTCTAAATATGCAATAACAATACAAAAGATTCCTAAGATTTGTAATAATCTGAAACTTTACCACTAAATCTCTATTAAACACACTATGAATATATGTATTTCCTGACATGTCTGTCTGTAATTTCAGGGATAGAAATAAAAACAGATTTAATTTCTTGTGTGATTTACATGGCATAGACAAAAATTATGTTTCGCCAGGCTTATGCCTGTGTTTATCTCTTATGGACACTGTCTCTAATAAAACATTTCATTGCATTTGTCTGGAATCTATAAATAAGATGAATGAGACACAGTTCTGTCTGTCCTACACTAGGCTTTTTTCCTACACTGATGCACGCAAAACAGTATTTTACTATTAGATTTTGAGCTATTTTCTAAGAAGATATAAATAAAAATTTTATATCCTTCTTAGATAAAAACAAGTAAAAACTTAATTCAATTGTTTCTTAAAGCAATAACAGAAGTCATTTCTAAAAAGAGCCAAAAGCAAGAGCTCTAAAGCTGGAAAAGGTAAAGCAGTTATAAATAAATCATAGGAAGTCTTAGTGAAATGAGTCCAAAATTATAATAATATAACAATGTGTTCAGTATTAATTTTTGGAGTAATATATTTATTAGTGGTAACAGATAATCCTTCACAAAAACAAAACTAAAGATGAACTTGTAATATTTATTTGCCCAATGTCATACTCTGTAAGAACAGTCCTGCAACAAGCATACCTTAGCAAAAAATACGGTGAGGTGAGTTTCACTGCCAACAATCCAAATAGGGAATTTTGGAGATTTCAAGTAGGAACCAACCTAGAACAAACATAGCAAAATATAACAAAGGAAACAGTATAGCACCTGGTAAGTGTATGCTCACAATTATTTGAAGTATAACCTATATAGTACAATCTATATACCCTATATAGACCTAGTCACATTTAAATGTAATAATGTACTGTGAGAATGCTGAGTGTATAAAGGAAGTGTCTCAGGTGTATATTATAACCTTTACATCAGAACAATAATAATGAAAGTTCAACATTGCAAGATATAGCTAGCTTAGTCCTAAGGGTTACTCTCAAATTTTCTTGAAGTTCCTACGTGCAATGAGCACTTCAGAATTTCAACTTAATTCCTCAAACCCAAGCCATACACTTTATAATTTACAAGGAAAATAATTATACATTAACAAGCTTTATGAATACATGAAGGGAAAAAGACATAAGAACATAGTTTTCCTCAAAGAATCGATGATACCATGATGATGTCTCCAAAAAAAACAATCTAAAAGCAGTAAGGTTAAAAATTCTACAGTTTAACTCATCATGGTAAGTTATTTCAATGTACAATATAGTCTCTTTAAAATGTTTTAAAAACCGTACTTACATTTGTCTTCAAATGTACATACCTACATGCCTGTTATAGTATCAAACCTTGAAAGGTATTGATGTACTGTGAGAATGCTTCACAGGTAAAAGAGGATATTTTTGAGGGAGGCAGTGCTGGGGTTTGAACTCATGCCCTTATACTTGTTGGGTTGATGCTCTACCATTTGAACCATGCCTCCTGTCCTAGTATTTGCTGAATTTTTTGATATAGTGGCTTTCAGACTTTTCTGCCTGAGCTGGCCTTGAACCACTATTGTTCAGCTCTTAGTCTTCTGAGTAGTTAAGATTACAGATCTAGGCCAACAGCATGTAGGTGGTAAGACTATATACTGAAGAATAAGTAAATGCAAAACTCCAGAAGTATTTTGTAATAATAAAAATAAGTTAAGAAGGCAAAAATATTGTAGCCATTTTGAAAAATAGATGTAACAGTTTCTCAAATATTTAAACAAAGTATTACCATATGTGTGTGTGTGTGTGAGTGTATTTACTTTAGGGTATGCATTGCTGAGAAGTAGGTAGGACATAAATAAATACAAGAAAATTGGAATAACTTCCTGAATCTAGAAATCAGTAACAAGAGAAACCACAGAAAATATTCTATGACATGGAAATAGAACAATTCACATTAAAATTATCAGTGGATCTGAAGAAACAGGAGAGGAAATAAAGTTGCTAGAAGCAAATATGAATGAAACCACAAATATCAGCACTTTGGGTCACAACACAGACAGTGCTGACAGGAAAGTTTATAGCCATAAAAAACAACATTAAAAAATAAGAAAAAGGGCTGGGAAGGTGGCTCAGTGGTAGAGCACTTGCCTTGCATGCATGAGGCCCTGGGTTGGATTCCTCAGCACCACATAAGCAGAAAAAAAAAAGCCGGAAGTGGCGCTGTGGCTCAAGTGGCAGGGTGCTAACCTTGAGCTGAAGAGCTGAGGGACAGCGCCCAGGCCCAGAGTTCAGGCCCCACGACTGGACCCAAAAACAAACAAACAAACAAAAAACAAAAGAAAAATTACAAATAATATGGTGCACCTCAGGCTCTTAGAAAAACATGAACAAACCAAACCTAAAAGCAGTAGATGAAAATAATAAAAAGCAGAAAAAACTTAAAACCCCTCAGAATTATAGACTAATTTTCCTGATGGAAATAGACGCAAGAATTCTTGATAAAATACCCAATATCCATGAACTGAACTCAAGAGGACACTAGAAAGATGACACATCATGATCAAGTTGGGTTCATCCCAGGGATGAAAGGATACAGCAAAATAGGTAAATTAGGTAACATAATACAGCACTTAAACAGAATCAAAGACAAAAAAAAGGTCATATAATCATTTCAGTAGATGTAAAAAAAAAAACAAAAACAAAAACCTAGGAAATTCAACACCGTTTCATGATAAAAAGCCCTGAAGTAACAAGGAATATAAAGAATATATCTCAATATATTTAAGCCTAGATACAGTAAATGCATATCATCCTAACCAGAAAAAAAACCTGAAACCATTTCCTTTAAGCTCAGGAACAATAGTATTCTCCCCATTATATTCAATATACTCCCAAGAATTCTTAAAAATAAGGAAAAAGAAGGAAATAATAGGGACAAATACAGGAAGCAGTCAACTCTATTTGCAGATTATATAGTTCTATACTTAAAAGGATCCTAAAAGGCAGTCCTGGGCAAAAAGTCCACAGAGACTCCATCTTCAATTAATCAACAAAAAGCTGGATTGGTGGGATGGCTCAACGAAGTATAGGAATGTAAAATGGATTATGTATGCGGGTATCAGAAGGAACGAGGGCAAAAAGAGAGGGTATGGATGTGGGTAGATACAGTCTTAAGTATTTTTTTGTTAGTTGTGGGGCTTGAACTCAGGCCTGGGCACTGTCCCTGAGCCTCTTTGTGTTCAAGGTTAGTGACCTACCACTTGAGCCACAATGCCACTTCCAGTTTTTGAATGGTTAATTGGAGATAAGAGTCTCACACTTTTCTGCCTGAGATGGCTTTGAACCATGATCCTCAGATCTCAGCCTCCTGAGTAGCTAGGATTATGGGCATGAGCTACTGGTGCCTGGCATAGTCTTAAGTATTTTATACACAAAACTGAACAATGAACTTGTTCTAAGAAGGGAAGGGATACCAGAAGGGATGGGTTTAACTTGGATACACTGTATGCATAAATGGAGACATCACAGAGAAATCCCTGTGTACAACAAAGAGATGCTAATTAAAGTTACAAAACAGTTTATTTACTTAAAAATATGTTTATAAAAAGCATGCTTGTCCACAGGAGCATAACTGGATAAATTTATAAGACTGACACATTATACGAGAACATCATTTAATTATGAAAAGGAACAAAGTACTAATAAATGTTAAAACAAGGATGAACACTGAAAATATTGCTAAGTTAAAGAAGTCATATATGCTGGGCATTGGAGTTTCACGCCTGTAATGCTAGCTACTCAGGAAGCTGAAATCTGAGAATCACGTTTCAAAGCCAGCCTGGGTAGGAAAGTCCGTAAGACTCTTATCTCCAATAAACCACCAGAAAAATGGAAGTGGCGCTATGGCTCAAGTGGTAGAGTGCTCGCCTTGAGCTGAAGAGCTGAGGGACAGCGCCCAGGCCCAGAGTTCAAGCCTCACGATCAAAAAAAAAAAAAAAAAGTCATATATATTACATGATTTCATTTACATAAAATATCCAGGAGAGACAAAGCCATAGCAAGAGAAAAAAGAACAATGGTGGCCGGGGTGGGAACCAGAAGTGAGGTTAAAGGTTACAACTTCTTTATAGCCTGAGTCACACTCTGAAACTAGATAGGGATGGTTCCAGCCTGATAGCATACTAACACCCGCTAAAGTGAGTAATTATTATTATTATTGTTTTTTTGGTTGTATAGGTCATGGGGCCTGAACTCTGGACCTGGGCGCTGTCCCTCAGCTCGAGCTCAAGGCTAGCACGCTACCACTTGAACCACAGTGCCACGTCCGGCTTTTTTCTTTTTGCTTATGTGGTGTTGAGGAATCGAACCCAGGGCTTTATGCACACAAGGCAAGAACTCTACCACTGAGCCACCATCCCAGTCCTAAAGTGCATTCTTTGAAGTGGTGAATTTTATGACATGTGAGTTATGTCTATCTTTGAAAAAAATGAAGCCAAAAGTACCTTAAGTCACATTCTTCTTTGTCAGGCTGTGTGTTCATGTGGATAAATAGGAATAGAGAGATTTCATCACTGAATATGTATGGTTAAAATGATATGTGAATGTTAATTTCATCTTTAAAAAATAACTTGTTAAACTATCAAAAATGGAGAAATGTATAAATGTACAAAATTAACACAAGCGTAATTACTTCTGCTAACCCATTTCTCTAAGCATCTAGTGAAAAGTAAAAGCACAGAGATCATGAGACCTCAGATACAGATCAACATAACATCGTGTAATGTAATTTCTCTTTTTAAAGTGCCAACTTGGCTTAGAGGTCTTGGCTAGAAACTAGTCAGTTTTCTTTAAAGAAGATACCTGATTAAATTCACAACTCAGTTACCTTCCTTATGAGTCTTTCACACACCAAACCATTAGGGACCCTACCCTTCCATGCCCCAAGGCCACAGACATTATCCAAATTAGACAGTTCACAAGGATCCCCAGAAGCCTTGTTAACCCTATCAAACCTGCCATATACAGGTATGCTGCTCCAGCTTGCTGGCCTCCTGTCCCCCAATGTAGCCCTATACCACCCTGTCAAGAAGCCCTCTATCTTTTACAGTACATTTTGTTGGGCTATTAAAAGAGCTTTTCAGTGTATATTCCTTTAGAGGAAACAGGGTATCACAGTCGTTATTTTTATGAAATAATGTGAAAAAAGAGTAACTAAGCATTCCATATCTAGGCAGACAGACTATCAAGTACCAACACTCAATGATATTTGACGTTATATGTTATATGTTTGGGAAAATGATAGGATACCAGTTTGGCTATAGAACAGGAATAAAGAGAGAAATGAAACTGAAAGATAGGATCAAGATCCTGAGGCTCTTACAAGCTATATGGTAAATATTTCAAAACATGCGATCTCCACAACCTAGCCTCCTAGAACACATGTGGTTGTGTGTGCCTATATGCCCATTTCCCTTCATGACAGATGAATGTGTGTGCTAAGGGAGAGGAAGGATCTGGATCTCTGGTTGCCAACTGTCTTGGGAGTAGCTTTGGGCTGTATAATTAAAATGACTGGAAAAGAAGAAGTTGCTATCATTTACCCAAATTAACCAGTGAGGGCAAGATGAGCCCTATCTGATTATCATACCCACCTCACTCTAAATGCTCTCAGGAAGAGGAATGCCATCTGTCAAACTAACACACATGCACGTGTACACACACAGCAAGAGAACAAGAAACTTAATCTGCTTAAAAATAATCATCACCATTAGAACGAACCACTACTATGGCACCACCATTCTAAAATTAAAAAAAAGAAGTTTAGTCAAGCACCGGTGGCTCATGCCTGTAATCCTAGCTACTCAGGAGGCTGAGATCTGAGGATCGTGGTTCAAAGCTAGCAGGGGCAGGAAAGTCCATGAGACTCTTATCTCCAATAAACCACTCAGAAAACCAGAAGTGGCACAGTGGCTCAAGTGGTAGAGTGCTAGCCTTGAGCTGAAGAGCTGAGGGACAGTGTTCAGGCCCAGAGTTCAAGTCTCATGACTGATCAAAAAAAAAAAAAACACAACAAAAAAACCAAAAAAATTAGATCTACTTTTTCTTAAGATTTTTTCTAAGATTTTGACATTTGAATACAAATAATGTGCATTTAAAATTACTTGAAATACTCAATTTTATTTCAGATTGCACAGAAAGTCAATTAAGTATATTGCACTAAATGAAGGCTTCATAGCAGTTCCTAACCCTTGTACATGTGTAAAAAGAGTTTAGTGTTGTAAAATGCTTGGGATTTTATTTTATTTTTTTAGTGTAAAATCATTTTTTTCAGATGGAAAAGATAAAAGTCAGAATTTCAGGCATTTGGAAAATTCTCTTTTGTTGCCTGATAAGGTATTTCCAGTTGTTATGGTGAGGCATACTCTTCATTAATGAAACAGTGTCTCACTTTTCTTCAGCCTACAAAATAATGTATTAATAATTAATCATAGATTGCTTTGATTTATATATGTTCTAGATTCTACTATATTCATCTCACAGGAGAGACAGAATGATCAAGAATAATCAGGCAGTTTAACTCCTTAATAACCCTGTCAGTTTAGGGTAGGAAGTAAGGGAGGAACTGAAGAGATTGGTATTACAATTTTAAGTAAAAATGTGTCATCACAGGAACAAAAATAGCATGCATAACACTGGGTATGTGATTATAAAACATTTAAAGAACCTTAAAAATGGACTCACCTTACAGTATCTTAAAGCTTCCATTAATGTTAAAAACCCTACAGCTGCTTGTTCATGTATACCAAGAAGTTCTGCAAAAAATAAAACAAATGACAAAGTTAGCATTATGTTACTATATATTAATCTGAAAAGTACATGCAGATGTATAATAATATATACTCAACATACTAATATACTTATACATATATTTGTATCATAAGCAAAATTCCTTTTATTCAAAACTACACTTTAAAATGTACCATATATTAAAAGGTCACATCACTATACTACTCATTACCAAATACCTTTAGTGGCTAGGCATGGGTTTGCATGACTATAATAAAGAATTCTTTTTCTGAATCCAAAGATTTATTGGCAAAATAAAGTAGACTTAGATTTATTTGACTCTGAAAAACAAGTGGGTATGTTAATCACAAATAGAAAACATATCCCTGGGTTGCTGTGACCCTGATACATGGTACTTATTAATGGACATCTCATACTACCCCCTCTGTAAATGAACCCAGACACTATGCTTAGACTGGAGACATAATGATAAATAGTAAACAGTTTCTGCTTATAAAGCTAAGAGTTGACAGAGAAAGAAAAATGAAAAAATTTGCGTGCTGTCTACAAGCGCACGCACACACACACACACACACACACACACACACGCACACACACACACACACACACACACAGAGTTAGGATAGTAGTTGCTAACAGTGTTAAGGAAGGTTTACAGATGTTGTAACTTTTGAGTTCAGTCCTGAAGCATATGCAGTAATTTTCCAAGTCAAAGAAGATAAAAGAAAATTGAAAGCAAAGGAAACAGCAGAGGTATGGAAATCAATGTACTCAAGATGAAATATTTGTTAAAGCTTCCTGTGCTTTTTCAGTTTTGCTTTGTGCTGTTTCTTGTTTTCTGAGAAGGAGCATACAATATTGCCTTCACTGGACTCAATGAAGACCTAGTAAACAATCCTCTAAACTCAGCCTCTCCAGTAGATGGGACTAAAGTTGTGTGACACCATACCTGTTTCCTTAAACACATCTAGCCTGAAGACTCTGATAATAATTAACTTAAAAGTATGGTCTGTAGTTGGATGGACAGAGATCATAACTTTGCTTTTCCAAATTTGGGTATGTTTGTGACTTCTAAATTGTAATAAACGGGAAGGTAGGCTCAAAACACAGGAAAGGCAAGCCAGGGCTGGATATGGATGGGAATCACTGGCAGAGAGCATTCACAGAGGTAGACAAGACAGAACAGTCTGTACAGAGAAAAGGGAAGAGATTATTCCATACTGGGTTATAACTCACAATATATTTTTTCATAGATGAGAGCCATTAGCTAATGTACAGTAAGCAGTAATATGATAATATGTATTTAGGTCCATAAATAAGTCTAAAAATTCCTTTTTCCTCATTAAAAACCACATTTACTATAAATATAATATATACATAATTTTGCATCCTTTTAACCACCTGGTCATAACTTGTACATTATCTTACCATACAATACAATAACATTAAACCGCATCTCTGTTCTGAACAGATATATACAAAACAATCCAAGTACTGACAGATTAGTGTTTGGGGTTTGCAAATTCAAAATTAATAGAGGAGCAAATGTGGTGGCTTATGCCTGTAATTTCAGCTACTTGGGAGGTGGAGACAGGGGGATTGCAGTTTGAGGCCAGACTTGGCAAAAAAGTGAGACTCTATCTCCAAGAGAAGTAGATTTTTATGGTGTATGCATGTAATTCCAGCTTACAAAGTAGGTAGGATGGCAGTCTAAGCTTATCCAAGCAAAAAGTATAAGGTTCCATCTGAAGAATGACAAATGAAAAAGCTTGAGGGGCAAAGCACTTGCCTGGTAAGCAGAAAACTCTGGATTCAAACCCCAGAACTACCAAAGAATGTAAAATAAGCAGAAGGCAAAAAGAAATACAGTTTGTATTGTCACTAGCTTCTTATAGGTAAGGATGAGCTAGACCAATGATCCTTATATTGGGGTTTATTCTTTGGGTCCAGAAGACACTTTTGGATACTGTGTGAGATCAAGATGCTTCCCTCTTACTCTCTCATAAGTGCAGTTTTACACAGGCCAAATGTATTACACCACAGCAGACTGATTTCATAAACATACAAAAATCCAGTAGTCTACTAATAAGCTAGAGATTAAGGAGAACTGAAAAAATGCTAAATAATGTCAATCTCTAATTTTGTTTAGTTTTTCATTTACAATGCTATTTATATTAAAAAGTAAATAGCCATTTAAGTTCCACCATTTAATTTCTAAAATCAGTTATCACCACCTAGTGTTATGATTAGATACTACATCTGTTTCCTTGAATTTTAACTTGTGTAAAATAGTATGTTTGCAAGATATTAAAAACAGCTTATTAGCTTTTCATAAATTTTGGGTTATAAATTATTCAGATTCAGTTAGCAATCACATGCTTAACTGAGATTGGGAGGATCATGGCTCTAGGATGATCTGGGCAAAGAACTTTGATGTGAGCTCTTCTCAACAGAAAAAGCTGAATGTGGCAGGGCACATTTGTCATGCTAGTGCACACTTGTCATATCAGTATTGCAGGGACACTTGGGTAAACAGGAGGACTACAGTCCAGATTAAACAAGACAAACAAGCAAGACCCTATAAAATAACCATGGCAGAGACAGGCACTTGTAGCTACCACCTACTACTTGGGAGGGTGAAATTAAGAGGATCAGAGTTTGAGGCCTTAAACTCTGATAAGCTCATGAGACACCATTCTCCCCTCCTATTCTCTTAAGCTAAATGGGAGGGTGAGACTAGAAGAACTGTGGTACCAGGGCAGAGAAGTTCTCAAGGTTCTGTCTCCACAGAAGGGAAGCTGGACTTGGTGGTACATGCCTATGATCCTGACCAGAAGGCTAACAGTAGGTATGAATCATGGGTCAGTGTGTGGCTGGGTGAGAAGTGAGAGCCTGTCTTGATTGGATAGATCTGTCCATTAGAAGACTCATTCAGTTCCTGTTTGACTTTCAGGGCTATGAGATATCAGATAACCAGACAGCATGAGAGAAATTAAAAACTTCTTTGGCCAACTTTAATATCTAGTTTATCTTTATTGATTCTATTGGTTCTATATATAACACTCCTTGAAACACATGTATATTAAAAGGATGGCTAGATGAAGCTAAACAGCAAGTTCACTCACATACTTATTTTAGGGAAAGAGGGCATTTAACATTTACTGTTGGTGCTTTTCAAGTGCAGAATACCAATAGACACCATATTTCACAAGAAAACTCTTAATCGTGTGTGTGTGTGTGTGCGCGCGCGCGCGCGAGTGTGTGCGTCCGCATGCCAGCCAGCACTGGGGCTTGAACTTAGAGCCTGGATACTGTCCGTTTGCCAGCCAGCACTGGGGCTTGAACTTAGGGCCTGGATACTGTCCGTTTTTTGCTCAAAGCTGGAGCTCTATCACTGGAGCCACAGCTCCACTTAACAGCTATTTGTGGTCAATTACAGATAATAGTTTCATGGGCTTTCCTGTACAGGATAGCCCTCCTACTGATACAAACAAAACAAAACAAACAGAAGTACTTAGTATGGTTTTTTCAATATTACATAACTTCTGTTATATTGCTAGAACAGCAATCCAATAAATGCCGACAAATGTATAGATTTTTATTTAAGCTTACATAGTTGAAAACACAAGCAAGTTCAAATGAATATTGTTAATGACTGAAGGAAAATACAAGAAACATACCTTGCCTGTTTTCTTTCTGTTCCAAGGTAATTATTTGCTTGGTTTTGGTCTTTATACTTAATCCACAGCAAAATACAGTCTTGACAGGCAATATTTCAGAAAACATAAACCATGAATTTGTATATATTAAGAACCTCAAACTTGATAATTGATTGAAGTGTTATTTAAAGGAAGTAATACACTGACTGTAAGAAAAAGAACCTACGGGGACTACAAGAGGCTGATGAGAAGCCTAGATAGAGACAGAAGAATTCTGGCTGGGGAGTAGGATAGGTTGAAAGAAAGTATAGAACGTGTAGAAAAATTAACCATAATAACTAGTAGCATGTGCCAGAGAAATGTACAAAAACCAAGTAGAGTTAGAGCAACAGAACACAGGAGGAAGCAGCAAGGACAGAGGCCAAGTGGGAAGGGGTAGGCCCTTCAACCAGAGTTCAGCAAAGGCAAGCAAGTTCAGCTATTCCTTCTAAATCACCTCAAGTTCTTAATCTCAGGGCCCAGAAGCCATTGGGAGAAGAGAAAGAGGTGGTGTTTGGGGGGAGACCATAAAGCCCAAATATTATCTAACAGACTGGGCTATTTTTAGCTTGCAGGCACAAATGCTTTGAACTATGAATCAGAATAGGTTTCAAAGGAGTAGGATAACCTGAATTCTGGGAAGCAGATTAAGGTAACCTGCTAGTTTCTTTCCCCATGAATTTCATTCTTTAAAATTTGAGAGGGAAAGAGGGAATAGCTTACACTTAGCAAAAGGAAAGAAATGTAAGTATCACCTGATGTGAAAGAAATAATTGTATTGTCAAAGCTCTATAGACCATGATAATGACAATTTGCCTTGTGAAGGTTAAAATGTGTTTGTGACTTTAACTAAGTATCACTATTCCACAATACTGTGAAATATATGAAATTTATGTAATCAACTAATCTCAATTTTAAAAAAAGAAGAAAAGTGAGAAAAGGGGTGTGTTAGGAGCGATGGGTGACAATGTTATTAGACACTTTGTACTCATATGCTGTTTTGTAGAATGGGAACTTCTTTGTACAACCACTTAAAGATAGTGAAAAATTAAAAAAAAATTGGCTTTTATCCAAAAGTAGCAAAACTAAGCTCTCAACCTCATCAGTACATGAATGTGTTACCTAATGAGAAGGGGAGTAAAAATCGTTCTGACATTTCTGAAACAATAAAATGAAGAACTAGATCATACTACTGTGCTTTTTAAATTCTGGATTTTCACATAAATATATATATATATATATATATAATTTTTCAGGTAATTAAGTATATTGATTTCTAAAGCTTGACAAAATTTTATACTTAAAATTCAGTCATCTAAATGGAATAAAAAAGTACTAGTTTCTCAATCATAATATTTGGTTTTGTTTGATGACTATTTTATCTACTTAAGAATTATTAAAAAAATAGAGAGTAAATTTGCCAATGAACTCTGAGAACTGTGGAACTGCATGCATGTCTTTTCTCACACCTAAGTTGAGTTAGCAAACAAATTTAGACAGATTCCAATACAAACTGTGGACAGTTTTGGTCACAGTTAATCAGCTTTTCTTAACAGAATGTGTTTTCATTTGATGCCTCTGACAATGAAAGAAGTTATATGAAAGAAATATAGTAAGACACCTTATTTACAAATTTGTTACAATGTGGTTTTTAACCAACTGTAGTACAGAAAAGGTAATTAAAAAATCTCAAAAGAAAAAATTTTAAAACCCTGCTTGGTTGATGCTGAGTTCTAAGCTTTATGTTTATCATTCATTGTGTTTAAATCATTGTGTCATCTGCTGAGTTGATTCCCTGAGCTTAATTTTTTGAAACTGATTCTCCAAAAGCAAATGGTGTCCAAAAAGTTAATGTGCTTAAGAGATAAAGTGAAAACTTTAGATTTGGTGAAGTCAGCTTGTCTTTAGCTAAAGTTGGGTGGCATTATGGGTAAAGTGAATCAAGCATCTACAGTACAATACTGAACATTCACCATGTTTCCTCAGTGGAAGTCTCCTTGAATCACTGACATGGATACCCAGAGCAAGAGGGTCTATTGTAATTGAAGCCAGACAGAAAAGTGGCAATGGAAGTCTCAGTAGTTTAGAAGTCTCAGATAAAATCAATGCCAAGCATTTTAAAAAAGAAAATATGCTTATTAAAAGTAACATACACAGGCTGGGAAGGTGGCTCAGTGGTAGAGTGCTTGCCTTGCATGCCTGAGGCCCTGGGTTCAATTCCTCAGCACCACATAAGCAAAAAGAAAAAAGCCGGAAGTGGCGCTGTGGCTCAAGTGGCAGAGCGCTAGCCTTGAGCTGAAGAGCTGAGGGACAGCGCCCAGGCCCAGAGTTCAGGCCCCACAACCGGAACCCCCCCCCCAAAAAAAGTAACACACACACAAAAATCCTCTAGATTCTCATAGCAAATACTTTAAATTTCAAAGCTTTGTACTTTTTCCTTAATTTTAAGGAACAAATATTGTACCGTGGTAAATACTGAGATTATTTTTTCTAAAGAAGTTAGCCCTACAGTCCCACTATCATACTAGAGAGAACAAAGCCCTGAGAAAGTTTATAACTCGACTGAAGACATGTACTTAGGATGGGAACTCAAGATTATCTGGCTCCAAAATCTATACCCTTATTGTTATGGGGCCTCAGAAACTGTAAAGAATTCTTCTATGAGAAAGTACTTACCTTCACCCCTAAGTAAGGTAAGAGCCATGAAATGGATGAAAATCAATACATTCCACTGAAAGAGTACTCACATAAGAAATAAAGAGTATACTTACGCATTCCTGAGCATTCTCTATCACCATCCCATACATTAGAAACAGCATGTCCTGTTAGTAGGAGGTTAATCAAACTTTGGCTAGAAATAAAATTTAAAAGAAATTAATACTTGAATAAAAATAATACCAAAGGAGCAAAGTCCTGGCTTTTTATATTAAGTTAAGGAAAACCTTAAATTTCCCATTTTATAAACCCAGCCTTGTTAAAGACATCACAATACATATTATCACATGGTATCTGTTATTAAATACATACAGATACACACTTAACTCTAAGATACCATACTTAAGTGGATAAAAAATGATATATAGAGCCTGGTGCTGGTAGCTCACACCTGTAGTCCTAGCTACTCAGGAGGCTGAGATCTAAGGATCATGGTTCAAAGCTAGCCTGGCCAGAAAGTCAGTGAGACTCTATAATCTCCAATTCACTGCCAGAAAACCAGAAATGGTACTATGGCTCAAATGGAAGAGTATCAGCCTTGAGTACAAAGAAGTTCAGGAATAGCACCCAGGCCCTTAGTTCAAGCCTATACCAAACCAAAAAAAAAAAGAAAAGAAAAAAATTATATATAGACTGATAATTAATATTCCTATCTTTAACATGTAATTATTAATATATACAGATTTTAATGGAGGATATATGAATTTTAACCACTGAGGCAAAGAGGTCTAAAAAAAGGGTTCATGTGTAAAAGTGGATTAACTGTTACTCTTAGAATAATTTTGGTTAACCTAAGCTAAAACTAAAAGCTTAAGAGGTAAAATGGGGATTTGTTTCTCCCAATAAAAAAAAATTCTAAGAAAACCCTATTTCTAGGCAAAAATGAGATTTAAAAACATCTCATAAATGAGACATAAAATAGAATTTGTTAGAATACCTTCCCACAATCATCTTAAAACAAAATGTTCTGACACTAAACATAGTGCATACATTAACCTAAACCGAAAGTTAGCATGACACACATAAAGCAAGCAATTTGTAACGCACAAGACTTACAATTCATGGATGTTAAGTGTGAGCAGTCCTGATTAGCAAGATTACCTGACTCAATCATCTACCAGTCAATTGATACAGAAGCCCCCAGGAGGAGATTTAGTTCCTTACCTGCCATGCCCATATACAGGATCTATCAATGGTTCACTTGTATCTTCAATTTCATTTTTTATATTTTCAATGCCCTAAAGAAACCAGTAATTCGTTGACTTACTTTAAAAACTAAAATATGAATTATGGTCAGTTTAGTATGAATTAATAAAGTGCAATCTTTAAAGTAACGTTTTTTTCAAAGAAATATCCAGACTTGAAGAGGGAGTGCATTTGAAATGAAAACTGTAACAAGTAGCTTTCTAAGAGTATCTTTTATTTGCTCTCATAGGCTGTATATAAAGAAAATGGATGGACTTGTATGTAATATATCTAATGCTGGTCAAAGGGGAAAAATAAAACTTAACCTTGAAGGGAATGGAGAATATTTAACAAAATGGCAATGTTCATTAAAAATCAGGCTAAATTAAATTAAAACCTAATATAACTATTAAGGCTACTAAGTGATTTTACATTAGGTCATTTAGACAACTTACTAATACTTATATAGAAGCATGGCTTTCAACAGACATAAATTTAAGTATATGAAAGTACAGCTGGGACATAAGAAAATGTAAATCTATTTGATTGCTTTCTCTCAAATATTGATAATTCAAATGTATACCAACAAAATAAAATGGAAATTAAGAATAAGAAGTTTCTTATTTTCTTGAAAATAAGATTTTTTGATACTTTTTAATCTCTCAAAAAGACAAATGCCAAAGTAAAGTTCTAGACACTGGGCAAGGACAAGAAAATTCAGGATTCTAACTTCATCAGCTCCAAATGATATGAGGTGACATTAATTTGCTATTTACATAATTCTCACCACTACTTCCATCACCTTATAGACCACTTCTAAGAACTAAATAGATAATTAACAGTCAAAATATTCAAAGACAGCAGGGGAAACAAACAGATATGTGATTTTGTGCCTGCCATCCTACAAACAATCAAGGAGACTACAGTGAAGTCAAAACAAATAACAGAAACAAATGACACAATCCCCTTCAAAGAGCACTCAGAAAAATGACTAACATAATGATGTACTGGTTGAAAAGGAGAACAAGCAAGAAATATCAAATGTGTTGGGCATAAAACACTGGAGAATGAACAATAAAGTGCTCATAAGCAACCAGTCATGTTGGCACCACCTCGGCTACTCCCAACACCTATTCAACTGTTTCTGGTTCTTTCTTTTATTTATCTTTATGTTGTACATCCAGTAATTGTCTAACTTTTCCTATTTAACTTTCTAGATTTCTTCCCTTTTTTCACTGTCTTAAATTAGGATTCACCTATAATACTCACTTTTCTAATTTCCCTAAACCTAGACTTATATTTCATACATATATCAAGTCTCTTAATTATAAATTCTGACCCCAATTTAAGGCATCTCGTACCAACAAGATCCTAGCCCTTCCTTGTTGAAAATTTTACTGGTTCCAATTTTGAATAAAAACTTAAGTATTTCTGCATAATACATAAGACCTTTCAAAGAGACATTTTTCCAAAGTTGACTAATCTTCCACTATTTTCCTTCTGGAATATTATGCTGCATTTGTACATAATTTATTTCTCAAATATATGTTATACTTCCAATCCCTTATACCTCTAGACTTGCTTCTTCACTGCTTAAAAAAAAATTCCTTATGCAAATTTTGGCTCATCTGTCAAGTCCCCAAATCCATCAAACTGTCCAATAAACATTAAATGATAAAAGATTGATTTCAGACATGGTATATCTAGTAGAAAATTCAACGGGGACTAACAAGCTACCAGAAGTATGAGACTGGCATTTGAGAGAAAGGCTAGCATACATACTAGAACTAGCCACTCCATAAGTGGAGAATGAACTATCCATAAAGCAACTGCACACAGGACCAAGCACATGAAATGTTTGTAATACTAAAATTCAGAAGGGGAGAGTAAAGACAAGAAGATAACTTGTACAGAAAATATTGAAAAAAAAACAACAAATGACAACAACAACAAAAAGAATTGTAAGATGTTATAGGAAGAACACTAACACAGTGGTTTATCAGATTAAGTCAAGAAAATATTCCAGAAGCGTGTGAACAGGTCAAGTATCAGACATTGCTAAAATTAAAAACAAAATTCAAAAGAACTGACAACATTTCATAATTGGAACATTACCTATTACCTCTTCAGTCCAGAAGAATAGAGGTAAAAGTTAAGTCTGAAAATGCTTAGTAAGTGAATGAAGAGGAAATGAGTTAATTTCTTATTAACAGTCTAAGATTTAGAAACAGCAGCGGGAAATGGGCTATTCATCACAGCAGAAAAACAGTACTAAAATAATAAATGGCAGAAAAGAAGCATCTTCTTAAACAAACCTTGGTCAGTAACACAGAATACAGAAAAAGCAATACTCCAAATTTGTTTCCCCACATTGAATACTGATCCAAGACAGCATCTTTTAATTCGGATAAACTTCTAAATGATCTTTTACTGGAGAGGAAAAAGAGAAGTAAGTATTAGTATCATGGTGAGATTTGTGATATTTATAAATGGGAGAAATTTAGATTGCCTCATACATTAAAAACATACAAACAGTACATTTTTATTACATTTCAGGTTTCTGAATACTAATTAAGCCATTCCAAAAACAAAAAACAGCCACTGCTGACAACTACCACTACATACAATGTATACTACAAAGACAGACAGTTTACTTGACAAGGAATCTCTTCATCTCTTAGGTGCAACACTTCTCATCAATATTATTGAAGAATGTATCTAGAAAATAGAGTGGTCCTCTTTAGAGAGGTATTTAATAACCATGAAAATGCTTCTGAAACCTGAAAATTATTTGACAAATGTCTAAGCACTAGTCCTATGGTATACTTTTGTGGCTTTAAAAATAAAAGTGTTAACTTTCAAAATAAATGCCACCTACAGGTTCTATCAATATAACCATCCTTACCTTTTGTTCTGTAATAAAAAAAAATAAAATAAAAACCTGGGCATTTTTGATTAAAATATTATAGAACGCATACTTTGGCAAATAAGTAATTCTAGTATTTACCTCACTAAAAAAACTTATGTTCATTCAGGACAGAAAGACATAAAGCTAAAATTATTTTCTTTCACTGTTAATGATGGAAGGATTTAATGTTTTTTAAAAACTATACTTTTATAGTTAATTTAGGGCATTTCATAATTTAATTTGCATATATAACTCATCTTGTAATTTGAAAGCAAATTAATCCTCAAGCAAGGTATTTAAATTGCACATTTAAGTAGTACAGTATTATATAAAATAAAATCTAGGAACCTTTCCATAGAATGAACAAACTTAAAATGGCAATGTGTCCACAAGTTAAGTATTTTAAATGTTCTGATGTTACTTACTGAATTAATGCATGAAATCGCTCAAAGCCAAGCTCTTCGACAGCCAAGGCAGCTATACATAAAAGACACTTTTCAGCACTACACACGGCAAATAAATGACACAAGATACACAGCAGGCTGTAAATACTGTCAAGCAATCAAAATTTCCCTATTTCTTTACTCCTTACAATTCTCAGTGTATTTTAAACTATACAATAACATCAACTTACATTTCAGCATCTTACTGTGGTCATAACTAACATGGATGTCATACTGAGAATGTGGAAGTTATTACATAAAAATATTTCCTTTTGATTCAGCTATGCTAGGGAAGTCTGTACATGAGGAAAACTTAGTACAGTGCTTCACACGTCACTTTCACGTGTCCTGCACCTTTTTCAAATAATCTAAGTAAAATCATCAAAGCCAATCTGCCTCTTACTTAATATAAATTTTTAGGTTTAATGCTTTATTACCAAACAAAGCACTGAAATTAATTACACAGGTTCACCAACAGCTTTAAGTTTGTTTCCTTATTTTTTTTTTTGGTATAACAATTGAGTTTTCAGTAACTTATTTAGATGTCAATGAAGTATTAGAAAATGAAAGCATTTTAATCAAAAGAATGTTGGTAAGCACTTTACTGAGACCAGAACCTTCTGTAAGTGCTGTGACAGTTTGATATCACTGAATCAGCACACATCATCTCCTTCTCCTAGGACCGGGATGTGAGGCACGGACAGGACCCCTCCTAGCAGCAATAAGCACCAGCACTGACACTCAAATTCGGTCTTTACAAATAGCTGCATCAAAATGTCTGCTTTGTCACAATTTCTTTGAACAATTTATTACATTTTTATAAAGCCAGTCTTACTGCTTTCAAATAAAAAATACCCATTCCTCAATTAAGGAAACTGATTCATTATAGATGCAAAATCCAATTCTCTTAAAATTTAAAATGGTAGCATTAGATTAGCTGTTCAAAGCCTAATTTTAATTCTCCATTGCTTCAAATTACTTTGTAGTATCTTGGCAAAGTCCAAATAGACTAAATAATCTTCAGATTATATGGGAAACAAACTGAAATTGAACCCGAGTATTCGTTACTGCAAACAAGTATGCATTACCGACCAGCCAAAAATATACACACCACATAAGCCAATGAAATTAATGTTTGTACACAATGTACTATTAATGAGAGGAAAACACACTTAAGATTTTAAGATAAAAGTAAAAAGTCTACCTAATCTTTTCCAAATTAAACCCTTTTGTAATTCTTGATTATCCCAATAAGTTTATTAGTAATACGATCAAAATAGAGATAAAGAGAATAATTTAGATAACAGAGGCAAGCAAAAGAAAAAGCTTAGCAGGCAGGAATGGTGGAAAATAAAACACAAGAAAAAGAATGTAGCTAGGAATAAAGGAAGGAACAGGTAAAATAGATTGTTCTATGAAACAAAGATTTTAGTGCATGTTCAGTTCATTTGCCAATATCTGATAAACTCTCAAATTTTTAGTTACCAAAATGTTTAAAGATATGCAAAATTAGAAACATTTTAAATGTAGTTTTAGTTTGTGCCAACTTTTATGATGAGGCACAAAATAGAATGGGATATATTTTTTTGGAGAAGAATTCATATTTCCATCTAAATTAATGCATCTAAATCATATATCCATCTAAATTAGTTACTGAAGTGGCATGTCAGGCATAATGAGGCTATTTAATCTGAAACAGTGTAACTATCAGTATCTGAATAGCATCTTCCACAATAAGTACTCCATACAGTATTAACATCCTGATAAAAAATATTATATAAAAAGATCATACTATAGTTTTTCACATATTTAATGCTGACTACACACATATGTTTTACTGTACCTTTTAATGAGTTCAGTGTTTCTTCTCTCAAAATTTCTATGTCCAAAATGCATCCTTAATGTTTTAAAACCAATCTTAAATAAACTGTTTTACTATCATTTTTGTAAATGCTTTCCACTTAACTTCAAGTGTCATTATCAGCAGTAACAATGTTAAATTCTTTTTGAAAGGCAATTTTTCAAAGGCTTGAAGATAAAATATCACCCAACTGTTTAAATCTTTAAAACTGTTTCTTGCTAATGTGCTCCTAGAACCTGTCCAACTCAAGACATTTTAGCTGCAGAATATTAAAAAGATGACAAGGACAACACAGGACATTTCTACCCTAAGAGGCAAGGGTACCTGGTAAGATAAATCCTATATGGAAAGCAGGGTACATATCAAAAGCAATTGAAATTGGTTTTCTAAATGTCAGGTATCTAATAAAGAAGAAAAATTTCTTTACAGATGGTATTAGTGGCATGTACTCATGGCAAAGTAAGTCAGTAAGCACTTGGTATAGCTAAAAATCACCTGTGAGCAAGATTACTCATCAGAAGATGAAAAGCAATTCTTAACTAGTCTCTGTAGCACTGAAGTCTCCCTTTCACTTGTTCATTGTGGCCAATCACATAAGAATTTTCAAAAACTAGAAGCTGCAGCTGTTTCTTCTATCATTTTATGAGAATAGCTATCATTTTAGCTTTTTTAAAAAAAACTTTAATCAAGATATAGAAAACACAAGTAAGATTACCTTAAAATAATACATATACATAACAATGTCCAAAATTGAGGGTTAAAAAAAACAGAATGTCAATAAGAAAAATGTCTCTATCTTTACTCTAGAAAGCAACTAAAGGTATTTCAGAAATTTAATGAAGTCATAAGCCCCATTTATTTACAATAACTGGGAAAAAAATAAGACACCTTCATAGTATACAGATGTTCTTTAAACTTTCTAAACAACAGTGCCAAATCTGTGGGGAGATGGTTATCAACAAGATGTATTTCTTTTCTCTCTTTTTTTTTTTGAAAAAAAAATTTCAGTACTTAAAATCAATAAAAGGAAAACAAAATATTAAGATTTATTAGTTAAGTTTAGGCTTAGTGATATATTATGTATGAAAGTTAAAAATATTTTCTCTTCTAATTTTTCAATACTTTACTAAAACAAAAGCACAAGAAAATACTTTACTTCAGGAAAAAAATGTATCTTACAAGAATGTTCCACTTGGCAACTAGACTCTGCAGGAGTCCCAGAAATACTAGCGGTTTCCTCAGCTGTCCTTCCTCTTAACCATGAAACGAAGCAGTATGATCCAGAGTTGTCACAAGAAGCACTTTCTAAAATATCACATAAGGTATGACAAAGGAGCTCCTTCTGCTCTTCCTCTAAAAACAACCAAAGTACAAGTTATAATGGTTTTCTTTGAAAAGAAAAAATAAAAATCCCGTCACAAACAGTATTAAGAACATATTCATTTTATAACAAAAATCAAACATTTTAAAAATGGGGAATCTATATAATCTACAGACTGCAGACAAAACTTTGGAAAAACAATGTGCTGTGTGATACTAAAACAATGTGATTAACTAAAGTATCACCACTATGGGAAAATACATGATGTTTGGAATAGCCTCATGGAGATGATCTCTGTTAGGCTGCACACAGAGCTGTTAAGTTCTGCTGACTGCAGAACTAAGCACCAGATCAAGACCCACTGAGACCCCTTCCCCCCTACTAAATTCTGTCCGACCATCCTGCCCCAGTGGAATGAGAATACTGTCAGGACACATGAGACCACATTTATAACATCAGCAGAATCCTCAGGATGTGCTGCAGAACGTAGAAGCTGCTGTTAATATATTGCGGTAATCTGAGCATTAAGATTGTTGCAAATGGCAGAAAATATATGAGATTCACCTCCCCCCTTTTCTAGCAGTGTTAACTCCCCAGAGGCAATGTCATTTTCAGAAACCTTCAAATACTTTCTATAGGATGTGAATATATTTTCACATTCTCTCTATATCTATTTACACTCTCTAAAAAGCTAGATCATACAACATGGTCTCTATCTCTTCTAATGGATTATAAAAAGCTCGATCATACAACATGGTCTCTATCTCTTCCAATGGATTACAAATTCTTCAAAGGCAGGATCTGTGCATTTATTCACTTTAACATAGTCAAAGTCAACTATCTTTTGAATAGTTCCATCAATAAATTTTGTATTTAACAAATTATATACAATAACAAGAATACAGCCAAAATACTTTAATTCTTTAAATTCAAAATCATTAGGTTCTGTTGTCATGGTTTGGAAAGCTGCTACAGCCTTAAATAAAAACTACATTGAATGTATCTAACCTTTTTGGAAATTATTGTGAGGTTCATATGGAATTAAGTAAATGAAAGAAAAGATCTTTGTGCCAGGTGAGAGTAATACAAACATTTGTCATTATCAGGTAGCACCATATATTCCCAAATAAATCATAATATAGTTTCATTTGAAAACTGATTCAGAATTATTTGCAGTACTTGCATTAAGCAAGATGTTGAATGCAAAGGTATTTTGATATCTTTGCCAGCACTAAGACAAACATATATATATACACACACATATGTATGCATATATCTATATTACTATTCTCTACATGTGACATCATCCAGAAATTTTGGGAACTGTATGTATGCTTTAGCAGAGCACCCAAAGTTTTTTTTTCCCTTAGTTTCATTACCTTGACTTACATCTTTTAGTGATCAGGAAAATCAATATGGAAATAAGTATTTAAAAATTTTGAGTCACTATGAAGTTTCACATTTAAATAAATTTCAGGGGAAAAAAATCCCACAATTTTTTTTTTTCAGTGCTGGGGAGCAAACCCAGTCTTCTGATTATGGGGCAAGAGCCCTACCACTGAGCTATAATACAACCCTTGTTTTATAAGACAGTGACTTACTCAATAGCCCCGACTGGTCTCAAACTTTCAATCCTCCTGCCTCTGCTCCTGAGTGTACAGTACTGCACCACTATGTTTGGCATTCAGTTTACTTTTAGACAGTTAATTTTAATTGAATTATTGAATGAATGACGCAGAGACATCTTTAAACACAGATGATGAACAAGTTTTAAAAGAGCTGGCATACCTGAGCAATCCCGCCATGATGACTTCTCAGAAGAAAACAGAAGCTTCTTCAAAAGAAATGCCTTTACACAATTAAAGCAATAATGAGAATGCATTATAAACATAATTCATGTAATTGCAAAATGGGAAATACTAACTTGAAACGCCTTTCTGATCTTTTGAATAATTCCATAAAATTTCAAATTATTTCTCTTCATAGTCAACAGTTAACTATGCAGTAATTAATTAACTTGGACTTTAAGTTTATGAATTTTATTGTATGTCAATAGAGTTATCCATCCCCAATACAAATTTTCTAACAAGTAGAAAAAAAATGATTCAAACTATAGTCACATAAGTAGAAATTACAAATGCTACTACTCTATTTACAAAGTGAATGTCATATAAAACAGGAGTAAGTCTAAATTTCTCAGATTTCTAGGGCTAGTTACACTTAAATACAGAAATGGTTCTTCCCTATTAGCTCTGATCTGTGAAAGAAAATTTTCAATAGTAAGAGTTTAAGGAGTTTATACTTTCCTGGTTTAAAAAACATATGGTCTAAAAGAAAAACAAAATGACAGAAAGGAGTTGTGTGCAATATAGTTTTTCCCTTCTCAAAGGGCAATTCATCTGAATTGCTTTGTTTAAAACAGAAGACCTTGGGCTCCACTATTAAAATCTGAATCTGCAGAAGGCATATCCAAGATAAAGAAGTTTGATGACTCTCTAGGTGTATTTGACAACAGAATTTGAGCAGAAAAGGGGGCTACGTTAAGACAAGTAGAAGTAGGTTTAGAACTTGGTTCACTACTTTATTAATGATGGTGCAAACTACAAAGGGTACAGTGTTCAGTATCTGAGAAAATTTATGTGAGGTACTTTGCATATATCTGGAAACTCATGAGTAATCGAAGATTTCAACAAACTAACTCACTGCTACCAACATAAAATGGAGCAGTGTAACTAAGTACCTAAAAAATTTTTGTGGTAGGACAAGGACACCTAATATTCCAACATGAATACAATCAATATTGGTATTCTGATTTATAGTATAACCTTCTAGTCTTTTATTTTTTATGTGAGAATCATAATGGCTATATTATTTCTCATGTTTTCCCATAGGAATTCATAATCATAACTGCTATATCAGTATTTATGAACCTATCAAAATTTATATAATAATTGCACATTTAAATTATGCTACTGGATACCGAGTTGTAATTTTTTTGTTACTATAAATATGAGCTTTTTTGAATACAATGCTTTTCACATGAAGGATTTCTTCTGGAAAGATTTACAGAAGTACAATTTTTGCATTGTTATGATTCAACATGTAATGTAAAACTATTTCCCAGAATTAAAGTACAAATGTGTACAAGATAGTGTAGCTAGTATCAGCCCACCAGTACATTCTCTGTTAACTATACTTTTATATTTACATTTTTTTTAAAGAAATAGGATAGTACTTTGCTTACTCTTTGGGAATTCTAGAAGGAGTGCTTTGATTCGTTTGTTTTCTAGCATCATTCCACCTGTTACATCTGCATAGTTAAACATTTTTCAGTGACAAACTGCCATCTTAAGTGAAGGTGACATTATACTGTAATGTCTTCTATACTTACTTATAATGAACACACAATACTGATTAACCTTTATTTGTATGGTTTTAGTTTTAATAATGTGAGGGATTACTTTATGATGTCTCTCTACCTACTTTATATTCTTACACAATGAAATTTCAAATTATAAGATTTGTGTGCCTCTTAAAAATAAATTACTAGGCTGTGAAGGTGGCTCAGTGGTAGAGCGCTTGCCTTGCATGCATGAGGCCCTGAGTTCGATTCCTCAGCACCACATAAGCCAAAAAAGCCGGAAGTGGTGCTGTGACTCAAGTGGTAGAGTGCTAGCCTTGAGCTGAAGAGCTGAGGGACAGCTCCCAGGCCCAGAGTTCAGGCTCCACGACCGGACCCAAAATAAATAAATAAATAATTATTATTTCAATGGTCCATGATGATAGGCTTAGGATTTTTAAAATTTATTTTTAAAATTAATTCATTTTTATTATCTTTAGAAGTAGTTGTACAAAGGAGTTGTCAGTTAACAAGGCAGTTTATGAGAACCATATATCTTGATCAATGTCACTCCTTTCAACATTATCACCCATCCCTCCCCTACACACCTCTTCCTTCGCACCATTTTTAAGTACACTGAATTTTAAACTCTTACGATGTCATAAGTTCAGATTTAACTATTCATAGGCTTTCATGGAAATCCCTAATAATATTTATTGACAAAGAGGGTTTTGTTTATAAAATCTAATTTATGCATTTTAAAGTATGAGCAAAGAAATAGTTTCAACTAAGCTAAGTTTTATTTTCCAATTGTAAACATATCTTTCCCTTACCTATGTTTTATTGCAAACCTAGGGAATCATTTTTGCCACTGCTTCTTTTTGCAAATTAAATTCAGGCATTACAGGATAGGAAGAATGTGTGGCACTTACCAGGCAAAAAATTTTAAGTTTACTGAACTATACATGATATTTTGAGTAAACCTGTCTTCTGAGTGCTTTTTTGTTAAAAATGTCTTAGTAAGCTGGGCACAGGTGGCTCATGCTTGTAATCCTTGCTACTGATGTGGATGAAATCTCAGGATTACAGTTCAAAGCCTACTCAGACAGAAAACTTCCTGGGTCTCTCATGTCCAACTAATCACCAAAAAGCCAACGTCAAGGTGTGGCTCAAGTGGTAGAGTAGTAGCACCAAAACAAACAAAAATTTTTAAAAAATGAAGTTAAAAATGAAGGGGTGACATTGTCCAAAAAGAAATTTACTCATTACCTGACTTATGAAACTGTAACCTTTCTCTATCACCTTTGAATAACAATAAAAATATTTTTAAATGAAAAAAATAAAATAAGATCTAACTTATACATAGAGAATCTTCAATTTGGACAAGATTTCCTCTTGATGATCACATTTTTCCCAGTTTCTCAGTGCAACAGATTTACTTCTAGTAAATCAGTAATTCTAATGCATAATCCAGACATTCAATTTTTCTTAATTTTAAATAATTTTACTATTGCAAAAAGTCAACATATTTATTCTTTAAAGAAAGTAATGATCTTGAACATATTTTGGCATTAAGCATTAGAGGAGATTTTGTTTTTGTTTAATAATATTTAAGTCTATGGAGAATAGTATTTGCGGGAAAAATGTGCCTTGTAGCTAGCATTTTAAGACATTCTTTATGCCTAGTTGATAATCACATTAAATATCTCTTTTCTTTTTTGGGGGGGGTCTGGTCGTGGGGCCTGAACTCTGGGCCTGGGTGCTGTCCCTCAGCTCTTCAGCTCAAGGCTAGCGCTCTACCACTTGAGCCACAGCGCCAATTCCGGGTTTTTTTCTTTTTGCTTATGTGGTGCTGAGGAATCGAACCCAGGGCCTCATGCATGCAAAGCAAGCGCTCTACCACTGAGCCACCTTCCCAACTCTAAATATCTATTTTCAAAACATGATTAAGACATAAATTACGTGACTAAAACATATAAATTAGTTTATTTTATAATACTAACATTATACTGCTGTTCAGACTGAAAACATTTAGACTAACAAAACTGAAAATTCTTGATTTTTAAAAATAGTATAATTAATGTAATTTTATAGATCAGTCTGAAATTCAAATATATCTAGATTAAAAATCAAATTAAAAAGTTTTTGGTTTTTTTTGTCAGTTTTTAGGGCTTGAACTCTGGGCCTGAGCCAGGATGTCCCTCAGCTCTTTTGCTCAAGGCTAGTGCTCTACTACTTGAGCCACAGCACCACTTCCAGTTTTCTGGTGGTTAAATGGAGATAAGAGTTTCACAGCTTTTCCTGACCAGGCTGGCTTTGAACCTCGATCCTCAGAGCTTAGCCTCCTGAGTAGCTAGGAGTACATGCATGAACAACCAGAGCCCAGCTAAAAGATGATTTTAAGACATTAAAAAATCAAATTAAAGAATTCGGATAAGCCCCAGCTTCTATGCAAAAAGAAAAAAATAGTTATGAAATTCTGTTTGAAATCAGTTGCTACTCATTTCATCTAGAACGGACAAAACCATTGCCCCAAATAGTATATATTGTCAAATGATTTTAACTCTGAAAAAGTTTCAGGCCATGAAAATACAAACTCATCTTTTAAGAAACATCATTTTTGTGCAAAGAACAAATCACAATGGTGAAATTACTTTGTATCTATATGGTATATAGTCAATAGGATACATTAGAGGCCAAGATGAGTAACTCCTAATCTTACAAAAGTCAGGGAACATTTACTATTTTTTCTCCTAAAAATATAGTTAAAATGCTATTGACTCATAAGCAAAAGTTAAAAGCTCATCAGGTCTTGTATACACAGTATAAAAATTAGAAAACAAAAGCCAAGGATGAATCATTTGACTAAGTCTCTCTAAGGAGCCGATAAAGTAGTCGATGTTACCTGAACGGGTGCAATAACAGCACAGGGGCCACCTTCAAACTGTTCTAATGCAGTTGCCTCTGATTCACTAAACACAAAACCTAAAAATGAAAGCAAGTACCAAAGATTAAAAATATAATTCAAATAACAACTAAGACAATTTTTCACTTGTTTTTTCATTTAATTTGCTGATATTTCCCACAACAGTAAATACCTATAAATCATCAGACACAGTGTTTCTTTTGAGATCAACGAATCCTCTGGAAAAGCTATGGAGCCAATGCCCCTCCTCCCGAATATGCATACACACAATTCTGTACCTAAGAGATCATGGTAGAAAATAAAGTAGACTTGAATGAAAGGACACTAAGTCTATAATTTTTTTTTTTTTGGTTGGTCATGGGGTTTGAACTCTGGGCTTGAGTGCTGTCCCTCAGCTCTTCAGCTCAAGGCTAGTGCTCTGTCACTTGAGCTACAACACCACTTCTGGTTTTCTGGTGGTTTATTGGAGATAAGAGTTTCACGGACTTTCCTGCCTGGACTGGCTTTAACCGCATCCTCAGATCTCACTCAGTCTCCTTAGTAGCTAGGATTACAGGCGTGAGCCACCAGCGCCCAGCTTAAGTCTATAATTTATTTCATAATACTGGTGAATGATATGAAGGTCTCAGGCAATATTAAGCATGTACACTACACCACTGAAATACATTACCAGTTCCTAAATCTGACTTTCTAATAATTTAGTTTGCTCTAGGGAAGACTAAAGAACTTATAAGACAATTTCCAAACAATTTTTTTCTTTTTTTAATTTTTATTTATTTTTTATTGTGAAAATACTGTACAGAGGGGTTACAATTAGATGGGCAAGATAATGAGTACATTTCCTAACAAGCATTGTAGCCTCCTCCTTTGTTTCCCTTTCCTATCCCTTCCCAGCCTCCCCCCGCCCCCCCCAAACAATTTTTTAAATCACCTCGATCTTTGAATCACATTAAAAAATAAAGGGCATCAGAGATGGTTAAGAGTGCTCCCGATGGCTCTAATTTACTTCCAATACTTCCAACCAGCATTAACTGATAGCAGCTCTAAGTTTCTCAGAGGGCCTTGAGGCAGATGTCAGGAGAATCCAGTTTTAATCTAGAAACTTTGGAGCAATCATTTCACCTCATTAGACCTTATGCTTAAAAGTGTCACTTTTTATCTTAGTATGCTAGAAATCTATCAAACTTTATCAAAGGCTAACATCCAGTAAACTCAGACATCAAATATTTAATGAACATCAGATGTTATTCCAATAATCTGGGATAACATTCATGAATGTTGAAATCTTTGGTCTGAGCAAACTGACAGTCCCACCAAAAACAAACAGATAACAAAAACAAATGAATCTAAAAAGAAGAATGAAGAGGGTGCTGTCATTTCAGAAGGCAGTGACTTTTCCTACATCATAAGAAAGGACCTTGAGGCTAGTCTTGATGAAATTTCGGTAAAGACAATACTAAAGAGATAATATGTCTATGAGCATGGATTCAGGGAAATTCAATGCAGCTGAAGGGTAGGATGGAAGAGAGGGCAAATGGGAAAAAGAGATGACATTGTCCCTTCCACTTGGGTTCTTCTTGTTCTACCTTTCCCTTCTCAATTTCTCAGTCTCCTCACCAGCTCTATTCAAATCCTGGTGATCTCTACCCAGGTCCCGGCATTAGGATATATAATACTTTTCTTTTGATGTATTTTCTTTGGGTAATTTTGTTTGCTCTGAATTTCCATTATTGATTATAACCAGTTAATTCCCAGATTAGAACCACAAACACAAAGCACCTAAATTCTTTCTAGTGGTTCTATATGATCTGGCTTCTGCCTCTCTCTTCTATTTCACTCTTTGCCATTTTCCTCCTTCAGCTTTCAGTCATGCTGAACTTCTTCAAGGTCTTCAAATATTCCTACCCAGGCCTCACAGTGTAGTTGTGTGCCACCATGCCTTGTTTGTTTCTTAACCTTTATGCATAATGTTCCTTCTGCTTCAACACCTGGCTAACCCTATCTTCAAAAAATAAAAAATTCTGACATCTTTCAGGTTTCACCCTAAGATTAGGTCCTCTTGATACAAGGCACGGAAAGCTCATAAGCATGTTTGTCTGTATTCCATCTCTGGTCCATCTATTGTTTGAAGGCTTTATCTCTCACTTAGAGTGCTGTTGCAAGTTTCAACTGTGTCTTCTAATTCTTTACCTCCTGTTTGTTTTTTGGGAGGAGGGGAAGTAGTGGAGTATTGGGGCTGGAACTTAGGGTCTTGTGTTAGCTACTGTTTGCACCATACACTCAATCCTTTTTTCCTTTATTTTCTCAATAAGGTCTTGAAATTTTGTCCAATCTGCCTGGATTATTATCCTATTTTTTGCTTTCCATGTAGCTGGGATAACAGGTACATGCAACTATACATAGCTTTTACTTGGTTGAGATAGGCTCTTGCAAACTTTTCTTTTTTCCTCAGCTAGTCTTGAACCACAATTTGTGAGTCACTGTGCTTAACACCCACCTTCTTTAATGACTAGCTATTCACAGAATTCCCCAGAAGAATTCTTTAGAAACAGAAATCAGATTTTATCACAACCTGCTCAATATTGTAATGGTCTAATTCAAATAGAATAAGATCCAAACTCCTTTTCTTAGTCTGAAGACACTACAGGATCTTCTGATCCAAATGAACCCTAGTCTATCCACACTTTCATTAGCTCCAATAACCCTACGTCCTTAGAACATCCCAGTCTTTTCCTGGAATGTCTATGCTTGCTCTGGATTGACTATCCTCCTATTCTGTTTACGTGACTAAATCACGATCATTTGTTGGGGGTTCAAGTTAAATGTTAAATCATTATGGAGATATTTCCTGACACATCTATGTTAAATCCTTAGATAGTTCCTGACAAGTCTATCAAAATAGTCATGCCTATCATCTTCCTGTACATCCATACTGTATTATTTACCTCACAGGCAGGCAGGCATCTTGTCTATTTTATTGGCTTCTGTTTACCAGCACTATGTTGCACCCTCATTGCTAGATTAATGCTTATTGAAATTTCGGGAGGGAAGACAAGGAGAGTCCTTTGTTTCAAAGGATGCCAAGTTCAGTTTCAAAAATGTAAGACAACCATTTAGCAACATCTACAAGTGGAAGGGAGGTAGGGGCCTAGAGCTTCAGCAGGACTTAGAAGTGAAGAGAGCAACTTGGAGCTAGTGTATCAGTTAAAAATGAATGAGAATGTGCACACCGAAGATAATGAAGTTTGAGTGTTAAAGTGAGCAGAAGCCGAGTCAGTAACAGACTGGTGGAGATTAGAAAACAATACATAACTTTGAGTTTGACAGCATCTCAATGCTTAAAAATACTTCTGATAAGATCAGTGTTTAGAGTAAGAAATGTGGCTTTTGATATTAAATAATAAAATTATTCAATGACAAGATTATGATAAGCCAGTGGGCCAACAATTTGGAAATGACCAGAGCATGTTCTTATAAATTAAAGAATGGGGAGGAGATCCATTAAAGGCACAAGACAGACCAATAAAGGGAAAAGTTCTCTGATGCAGTCTTATATTATTACATACTACAACCAGCTTTACTGGCTGAGCATTAGCATACTATCAAAAGAACACTCAAAGTTGTTTGGATACATATTTGTTTTTTGCAGTACTGAGGTTTTGTGCTTGCTAGACTAGAGTTCTACAACTTCGGCCACATTCCAGCCCTTTGTGCTTCAGATGCTTTATAGATAAAGTCTTGTGGTTTTGCCTGTGCCAGTCTCAGACTGCAATTCTACTAATGCCATGAACTCCTTTGCAATTTTCTAATACCTTACTTTCATATGTTACTACTTATATTCAATACTGAAAAAGTTTGACAACTATGGCCTCTCTAATATTCCATGTAAACTCACAGCTAAAGAAAGACCTGGCTTGACTTTAAGTCAACTGATCTTGGTGGAGTCAAAAATTGAATTGGGCCCCACTTTCCTCAAGTTAAAAAAAAAATAGGGTAGCTATACCTGTCCTTTGCCATCTTTTAAGGTCACTGTAAGAATTAAGATTTTTTGAACACATAGCATATAATATAAATGTGTGTGTGTGCATGACAGGCATATTTAAGTCTTTGAATTAAAGAAAACCACTAAGGAATTAATTTTGTCAAATATGCTTATAAATTATGAATTAAAGAAACTCATTTGGCCAGTTATAATTTAGGTATGTTAGAAAATAAAAAGAAACTATACTTAAGAGAAATAAAAAGCTTCTGAGCATAATAAAACTGAAATTATATGACCCACAGTATTATTATCACTTGGAAAGAAGAATGATACTGATAGCATTTTACTTGACATGTTAAACCACACTATAGGAAGTGCCAAAACTTTCAAACTTTGACCCAAATGAATGCATTTTAATGCTTTTTTTTTTTTTTGGTCAGTCGTGGGGCTTGAACTCTGGGCCTGGGCACTGTCCCTCAGCTCAAGGCTAGCACTCTACCACTTGAGCTACATCGACACTTTCAGTTTTCTGGTGGTTTTTTGGAGATAAGAGTCTCGTAGACTTTCTTGCATGGGCTGGCTTGAACCATGATCCTAAGATCTCAGCCTCCTGAGTAGCTAGGATTACATGTGTGAGCCACCAGTGCCCGGCAAATACTTGTTTTTTAATGGACACTACAGTTCCCCTAATTATTACATATCATTTTTTACCTCATTTAAACAAGATTACTCTCATCCTTAATAGTCTTTCCATAATCTCCACCCAAAGAAAACCACTACACTGATCTTCTATAAATAGCAAAAATGAGTTTCTACCTTTCTGCGTAATCTTTAAGTAAGACAAAATAGCCTGAAGGGGAAAAATGGTTTCTGAGTTTCCACAGTCCACACCAGGGACAGGCAACCTATGGCCCTCAGATGCTTTCATAAGCAAAGTCCTATAAAAACCACCCTTTATACTTACTTAAATATACATAATTAGAACAATAAGACAAAAGGGGGAAATTAAACCAAAAGAAAAAAAAAAAACAAAACACCAGAATAGAGAGCACTGAGTGACAAAGGCCTCTTTACAGAAAGACTGTCAACCCTCAGCTACACAATCAATACTGAAGAGACTCAATTCCTGGGTAGGTTAGATGCTTCCATTTATAGGATATATATTACTTCTGTTAGATCTAGAAGACTTCTGTTTTGGTTTTGTTGGGATGTGGTTGATTTAACCACTATCATCTCTACTACTACTACTCTCCTGGTATAAACAACCACTGTTCCCCTGGAATTCTGCAGCTGCAACTATAACATATCTTAGCTCATCTTAGTGTCACTTTATCCACTGCAGTCTATCTTCAAACTTAGCAGCCAAATCTATCTTTTTGTTTGGTGGGTCATGGGGTCTAAACTCTGGGCCTGGGCGCTGTCCCTCAGTTCTTCAGCTCAAGGCGAGCATTCTACTGCTTGAGCCACAGTGCTGCTTCCGGCTTTTTCTACTTATATGGTGCGGAGGAATTGAACCCAGGGCTTCATGCATGCAAGGCAAATCTATCTTTCAGCAATTTGTGAGATCCTGTGTCTACCTTGCTTCAAACCTTCCTTTTCACTTAGAATAAAAGTCCTGACAATGCCGTAGTGCAACTTGGGCCATATTATTTCCTACATCAAATTCATTGTACCCTCCCCTTCTCTTCCTCCTTTCAATCCTCAGTAGCTTCTTTCCTGCTCTTTGAACAGCATAATGGGCTTCTGTCAGATGTCTGTTTGACTAGCTTAGTGACTCCAAGTGTTTGTTTAAACCTCATCTTAACACTAGGCCTATCCAGGTGACCCCCATCCCACTCCTTATCCCTTTACCTTCTAACTACTGTACACGAATAATGTATGCTGCTTGCTATGTTTGTTGTTTGTCTCCCCTCCCATCCTAAAAAGCTTCAACTACAAGGATCTGGAACTGGGGTAGTCTGTAGGAAGAGAAAAAAAGTGGTGCTAACAAACCAAAGAAACATAGAAAAAAAATGTTTCCCTTTAAAAAGTACTGTAGGCAAATGTGAAGAAAAACAGGGAGTAAAGAAAAAAAAATCCAAGTTTGTTGTTTTTTTAAAGCCTCCATCCAGCCTTTAAGTGCAGGTTGTCGTCAAATAAAAACTGGCCAAAAATAATGAGCAAAGAACCTACTCCACATTTTTTTAAATAAAAGGGAGAATTGTCTAAAAATAGCAAACCAATTAAAACAACTATATGCCATACCTGTAGCTTATTGTTTCAACAGTCATATCAAAATTATTTAAGCTGGCCAATATAGCTTTCTAAATAGATATATACATTAAACACTTTACACCTGTATCTTGCTTTCAACTGGCCAAGACTGCAGTTGTAAATTCAAAGTACAATTATAGACTACAAAATGAAGCCAGAGTTGATGTCACATTACAAAATGACTGCCAGAATAACAATTTAGCAAAGACCTCTAAGAATGAAAGAATACAACAGTAAATAAACCCCAACCTGTAACAGATCATTCAAGGTATCTATCTATCTATCTAATCTATCTGGTTGCTTTGAAATTTTGACCAACGTAAGATCTTGAAGAATTACACAATAAAACTGTGCCTTGTGGACAGAACAAAGTTTTAGGTTGATATGGGTCCTCACTGAACTAACCCATAATCTTGTTAAGGAACTTGCACCTGACTAAAAAGTGGTGACAACAAGCAGAGCATTCTAAAGTTCTATTTAGAATAATAGTTAAACATTTTCTTCTAATTGTCCCGGCAAAGCCACAGGAATCTATGGCTAACCTTTACAATTTAAATGCTTTGTAAATTAGTGTCACAGTAACTATTTGCTGTGTTTATGTCAGATATAAAAACAATATTACCTTTTTTACATTGTTACACACTTAATAAGGGTTGACTGATTACAAGGGAAGAAACATTTTTCTTACTCATCTCCAGGTTTTTTGTATTTTACAACTGTTCATTATTAAATAAATCAAAGTGGGCAGTTTTAAAATCTGCAAATGCAGGCATTTAAGGTATTAGAAAATAGTATGTCCCTCTCCCACAGTATAACCCTGCTTTCACTATATTTGATGTCAGTATAACTTGAGGAGGAGATGGGGAAAAACCAGTTGTTTAAAGATACAGGTGGACCTGTTGCAACAATGAGAAGTACAAGTTGTCATGTCCAAAACGAGCTTTACAACGTTGGTGGGGGGGGAAGGGGGGGAAGGAGAAAGATTGGGATGGGGGGGAGGGGGGAGGCTGGGAAGGGATGTGAAGGGTAAACAAAAGGAGGAGGCTGCAATGCTTGGTAAGAAATGTACTCATTATCCTGCCCATGTAATTGTAACCCCTCTGTACAGTATCTTCACAAATAAAATTAAAAAAAAGATATTAGAAAATAGTTAACTGACATAACTGAATGAGTAAAAACAGCCAAACTAAAGACATGTAAGATTTTAAAGCTCATATAAACTAGGAAATAATGAACACAGAGCTATATTAAGAGTTGGGAGACTCAGAAGTCACTCCTAACAATTTGTGCAAGTTTGGCCCAGTCATTTTTTTAACCTTGACATCTGGTTTTCATCTGGAAAACAAAGAGTGACCAAATAAGTCACTGTTCTTATTTTACCAGCTTTAAAAGATATGTGTAAAAGGGAAGAAAGGCTTACATCCTAAATGTCTGTAACAATACACCCATTTTGAAATACAGACTTTTACTATGTAAAAAAAAAAATTCACCAAATCTTTTGGCTCCAGGTGTTCTGTAAATAATAGTGGTATGTGTATGTGTATAGCCACTTGGACTAAACTTTCCTAGTCACCTTAAGTAATACATTGAGTTTTAATATCACAACTTAAGAATTAAGGATAGGGCTGGGAATGTGGCTTAGTGGTAGAGTGCTTGCCTTGCATGCATGTAGCCCTGGGTTCGATTCTTCAATACCACATACACTGAAAAAGCCGGAAGTGGTGCTTTGGCTCAACTGATACAACCCGAGCCTTGAGCAGAAGCAGCTCAGGGGCAGTGCCCAGACTCAGCCAGGATGACAGGAGCTCCAGTGGCGCAGTTGGTCAGTGCAGGGTACTCACAAAAATTAAGGATAATTGCTAATAGCCAAGCCCCCAGTGCAGATCCCTGATACACTTCAGGAATGGAATAAATGGTTATCTTCGAGTAAGTATTATTTGTATTAGCAATTAACTTCTTACATATGCAAAAAAAATACTGTGTAGGTAGCACAGGAAGTGCTGTGATCCATATTCCCTTTTTTAACTGTAACAGTCAGCACCAGATACAATCTTTCAACTGAAGATACTTTGGGCCGCCAGAACGACCTGTAGCGAGCAAACCCTGGTTTTTTGTTTTGTTTTGACTGAGTACCACGCCCAGCCACATGATTAAGCCACAAACAACAAAACTGCTTTTTGGCATCAGCCAGTCTGATCTTTCCAAAAGGAATTTAAAAATAAAAATTAAAAAAAAACTCACTCCCTTCTTCTCTCTCCCAGATAACAGCAAACACAGCTCACAGAAAAGCCCTGCTTGGGGTGTGTGTGGAGAGAGTGTTGGGAGGAGGGCGAGGGGTGTGTGTGTGTGTGTGTGTGTGTGTGTGTGTGTCAAGATCTGGAGGGTCACAGAAGCCTTGGAGAAACTGACACCTGCGCAGGGTGGGCTGGAGGTAGGGGCGTCCCCGCGCGCGCGAGCCGCCAGGCCGGGCCGGGCCGGGCCGGGGCCCACCACCCTCTACCCGGCTCCCCAGCTGGAAGGTGGGGCAGCCGCTGGGCGAGAGGCGGAGGTGGGGGGTCAACGTCTCCACTGAGGCCAGCTGCAGCCGCGTCCCCCCCCCTCTGGCTTCCCCCTCCCCGGCGTCCTCCCACCCCCCAACGCCGGGGCGGGCTGGGCGTTCCGAGAGCCTGGGGCTGGCTGGACGCTGCGCCGGGCCCCGGACGGAGCACGGGCGTCACCGGGCGGGGATCCCGGGGACCGGGGCGGGCCGGGGTGGGGGGGGGGGCGCTGGGCCGGGGGGACGGCGGGCCCGGTACCTTGCGTCCAGCGGCAGAAGATGGTGTCGGCGAGGCCCGGGCTGCCCTTGGTGCCCCACACCAGCTCCAGCAGCTCTTTGGTCAGTTCGGACATGGTGGGGTACCGGCGGGCGGATCTTTGCTTTCAGGACTCCGGCCCCGACACATAAGGAAGGGGGGCCGAACTTCGGAGGCCCAAGCTGCGCGATGGCGGCGAAGGCGACGGAACGTTAAGACCGAGACCAAGTGCGGAGGGCGCCCCGGGCAGCGACCACGCCTGTCATGCCCGCCCAGGGCCGTGAGAGCTCTTCCCTGCCGGAAGTGAACGTACTTCCGGTTATTCAGCTCCACCCCCCCCATACACACACAGAGGGCCCCGGAATCCCCTCCCCGGAAGCGGAAGTGAGGGGTGGGAAAAGGGCTAGGAGAGGGTCCTGCGGCCTTTTGGGCCATCTGAGCCCTTTAGTGCTGCTTTGGGATCAGGGGGACGTCCCGGAGGGCAGACAGGTTTGTCTCCCTCTGCTGCACCTCCTTTCCAGAAGGAGCTAAAAGCTCTGAGACCCGAGCTGCAGTGCCTCAAATATATGCCCATTCCTGAGTCTTTGTAGTATTAATTATGCCGAACTATAAAGCAGTGGTTGGGGCAGTTCAGAGGTAATGTCCTTGTCTGTATGGAGAGCTGTGCATAGATTGGAAGCCATCCTCCTCTGAGCCTTGGTGTCAACTCACATGAAGTCAAAGCAACTAGTGCTTGGAAACATGAGGAATATGGCGTCTTCCATTAGCCATCTTTCTACCAGGTAGAACACACATTACACACCTATGTGCAGATAGCAACACAGAACAAAGAAATCTGTAAGTGAAACAGCATTTTCATTCCCAGTTCTAGAGATGGTAGGGTAGGGTCTGTGGCTGCTAACACCTATTAAGAGAGACTAGGTTTTATTCATGGACTTCACATTTAGTTAAATTTAATTTGTGAAAAAACTTGGTAAAGTTTGAAAAGAAAGGAACTTACATTGCTTTGTATTTTAAAACGAAAGAGTAAAATCTGTCTTTTTAAGCTTGTGGTTTTTTTGTTTCGGTAGTGTTTCTTGGAAACTACCTTAGGATTCAATATTGCCTAGTTGTTAGGAGGCCATTCCCTGGTTCATACAGATTCTGACTCTTAGCTTTTGCACGTACTAGCAAATTGTCCACTCTCTACCTTTATTGTTTTCTTGCTAAGATAGGACATACTTTTCACATAGGAATAGAAGGAAATAAAGGAATATAAGGAAAGGTTAATGCATGGAAAGGATTCATGAAAATAGAGGTATTCATTTAACTTGGGGCATTTTGTAGGAATTTGATGGAGTACTAAAATTTTCTGACATTTTAAGTTTTAGGCATTTTAATACAATAGTAGTAAATGAAACAAGATGCAAACCCAGAAATTTCTGATTCAGGATCTAGCATGAAGCAAGTTTTAAAAAAGGTAGTTTTAATTCCAGAGCCTATGCCCTTAATAGCTATGCTCACTCTCACCTGGTTTTTATTAAGTGTTCCTTTGAGCAAGAAAGGAACTTATGAAACATTTTTGTGTCACATGATAAGATCATATTTCTTTTTTATAATGATAACTGCCAGGAAGAAAAGTGGATACAATGATCTAAGGTATGAGAATCTGGAAATGGCTGGCACAGGAGTTAGCTGTAATAGTCATGAAGAAATGCCTATGGCTTGAATTAAAGCACTAGTACTGGTGATTTCAAGAAGCAGTAATTTCCACACATTTTAGAATTAGAATGGGTTCAACTTGATGAATTACTTGGTAACTATATACATATGTATGTATATATACATACATACACACACACACACACACACACATACACACATAGAGATAGCGAGAGTATTTACACAAAACTAGGATTAAATGCAACTGGCATCTCTTTACACATGAATGAGAATGAGTTGAGCCTGCTCCATTGCAGGTATGGACACAGGACTTTGTGAATAGGAATCTGGCTTCTGAAATCTAACATTCTGAAGCCACCACATAAAAACTGGAGGTTAGAACAGGCTCCCATGCCTCTGAAAGAAAGTCAGAGGTGTTGGGGGGGGTGAGGGTATGATCACTGTGTGATACAACAGCAATAAAGAAAACATAGAAAAGTATACATGGGAAGAAAATGGGGAGGCAGCTTATTTTCATAATAAATTATCATAAATGTTGTAGCATAAACAACAGAAATTAATCCTACAGTATTATAGGTCTGATGTGTGAGAGGGATCTAACCAGGCTAAGTCAATAATATATCAGCAGGACTGTAGGCTTTGGGAAGGATCCACTTACTATTCTTTTCCAGCTGTAAAGGGTAACTTGCATTCCTTGATGTATCATACTCATTATTGTAACATTCCTTGTTGTGATTACTATTATTATTATTATTTCCAATACTGGGACTTGACCTGTGGGCCTGGGTACTGTTCCTGAGCTCTTGTGTTCAAGGCTAGCTTGAACTTGAGCCCCAGCTTTTAGGCACAATCCCCATATCTCAGCCTCCTGAGTAGCTATGGTTACAGACGTGGGAAAATTTATTTACTTATTTATGTGTGTGTATGTGTGTATGCATGCATGTGTTGGCCCTTGGGCTTGAACTCAGGGCATCACTATCCCTGAGCGTTTTCACTCAAGGCTCACACTCTACCAATTGATCCATAGCTCATTCCTGGCTTTTTGGTGATTAGTTAGACATAAGAGTCTCCTGGTCTTTCCTGCCTCAGCTGGCTTTCAACCTTGATCTTTAGATCTTAACCTCCTGAGTAGATAGGACTACAGGTGTGAACCATGAGCACCCTATTTCTCCTTGTTCTTTGACCTAGTTTCTTGGACTGAATGTTGGTGTCTCCCCCAAATTTGTAAATTGATATCCTAACTGGCAAGAAAATGGTATTAGGAGATGAGGTCTTTGGAAGGTGATGAGATCAAGAGGTGGAGTCCTCAGATGGGGTTTAGTGCCCTTAGAAATGATGGCTCAGTCTTTCCTTCTACCACGTGACCATGTAAGAAAGTCCCATTCTTCAGTTTCAAAGGAGCCACTACCAGCCTACAAAATCTGCCAGTACCTTGATTGTGGACTTTGCAGTCTTGGCAACTGTGCAAAATAAGTTTCTGTTGGTTTCTAAGCCACCCAGTTTGTGGTAGTTTGTTACAGAGCCCTAAACTGACTAAGACATCTAGAAAAGTGAATTGAAACCTTCTAACATATTGCTCTGACCTTTCCTTCTCTTTCTGTTTTCAACTTTTAATAATGAATGTAACTACACTGAGCCTACTGACCTACTCTAGGATGCTCTTATGTTAAGGTCAGCTGATAAGCATCCTGCCCCATTATTATGACAGACGTGGGTGTGTCACCTTTAAGAGGAGGGCCTTATGTGAGTGGGGATCCCAGCCTATGTTCACTCTCATTTTTGTTTTTTAGCCAGGAGCGGAGCAGTGTTGCTTCATGTTCTTGCAATGATGTGATACCTTACCCCAGGCATGAAAGCAAGAGGGCCAGTTGATAATGGACTGGAATCTCTCAAATTGTAAACCAAATTACATACTTTCTCTTTATAAGTTGATTTATCAGCTATTTGTTGGGGCAACAAAAAGCTAACACAGAGCAGTCCAAATTGGTTGGCTTGATATTGGTGTTGGAATGCTGGCTTAAAAACTAGATGAAAATGTGTCTGATCATAACCAACTATGTTTGTTCTATCAGGGTCATGATCACAGGCATGGTGGTTGAATGCCAGGAAGACTGAGGGATAAATGACCTTGGCTCCTGGACCTTTTTGTGCCAAACATTTATAGCTTTGAAAAACAGCCTTAGTAGCCAGGTGCCGATGGGTCACGCCTGTAATCCTAGCTACTCAGGAGACTAAGATCTGAGGATTGTGGTTCGAAGCAGCCCAGGCAGGAAACTCCATGAGACTCTTATCTCCAATAAACTACGCAGAAAAGCCAGAAGTGGCCTATGACTCAAGTGGTAGAGCTCTAACCTTGAGCAAAAGAAGTTCAGGGAAAGGTGCCTAGGCCCAGAATTCAAGCTCCAGGACTAGCACAAAGAGAGAGAGAGACAGAGAGAGACAGAGAGACAGAGACAGAGAGAGAGACAGAGAGAAAAGGCCTTGGATGAGAGTGAAGCCTTGAAAGACAGACAGACAGACAGATTTGCCTTACATTTGTGTGCATAAAATTCCGAAGATGCTTCCATTTGCTTCAATTTCGATTTTAGTTTTTAATATGTATTGGTGAATTTTCTGTCATCCTGACAAAATACCTGAGATAACCAACTTAAGAGGGGGAAAAATATTTGGGTTCTTCAGAAGTTTTGGTCCATGATTACCTGGCTCCATTGTTTATAGTCCTGTGTCATATCACGGCAGGAACACATAGGCAGAGCATGGTAAATAACCACGAGGTTGTTTTGATCATGATGGCCAGGAAGCAGAAGGAGAGAGAGAGGGAGGAAGGGTGAGGACCAAGCATACCATTTAAGGGCAGTCTCCCAATGGCCTGCTTCCTTCATGGAAGTCCTACCTCCTAGTTTCAACTACCTTCCAATAGCTCACTATCCATTGAAGGATTAATCCATTCATAAGACCAGAGCACTCAGAATTCAAACATTTACCTCACAATCTAGACACAGAGGCCCACTTCTTCAAAACCTGAATCTTTGGGGACATTTAAGATCCAAAACCACTATAATATTATCAAAATTTTCTAACTATGAAAAAATGAAGAGAATAGTTAAATAAACATGTCACCTAGATTTAATAATTAAGTTATGTGTTTCATCTATTTTTGGTAAAATACAAAATGCAAATTGTAGATTTCATAACAGCTTAATCTTATTTCAGTATGCATTTCTAAAAACTTAAAACACTTCTGTATAATCACATTCCTTATTAAATCTGAAAAAGCAATAATAATTCTCTACAATAAGTTAATACCTTTCTTCAGTTCCATTTTCATTGGGTCTCAGCACCTTTTAAAGTTAGTTTCCTCAGGCCATGATTTTCCTCAGGCCAGGTTTGCTGATACCATATGGCAACTTCTCCATGTCTAGTGGTTTAGACTTTATCTAAATTATTGCCTGAGTCTATTATTCCATTGGGAATTACAAAATGGTCCTCTTCTGTTTATTGGTCATTCTCTTTTTTCTTGAATTGAATAGTTAGTGCATTGTTTTTCAAATGTTCAAGTACTTTCTTATATGGTTTCTTTAGTGCTATAAAAGTATCATATAAGATTCATAGCAGTTTTGAC